CCCCCCCCCCCCCAACGTCTTACGTAATTTATGGACGGCCCCCATTGATAGAGATATTTTTTTTACATTCGAATATGAAATACAACTGAATTTCAATTATCCCCGAAAATATTAACTATTAAACAAATGTAAAATTAGTACTTCCACTTACTTGGCATCAGGAAGATAAAGAATGCCCAATCCAAAGCCAGTTAGTACTGCTGGACATATCCAGGCTGCTGTATGGTACCACAATGGCCGTCCAGGTCGCTCTCCAAGTAATAGTTTCATGTCAATTGCGTAACATAAAGTCCAGATCCATGTCACCATGTAAAAGTACTGACTCCAGGCCTGCAAACTAATGGATAGTCATTTCACTCTTCTGAATCATTGGATTAAAGGGTTTTCATGGGGTCGTTTAACACTCACGGAGGACACGGCACAAAAAACTACGCTAGATGTATCGCTCTCCCCCGGCATTATTGTTTTGTAATTCAACCATAAGGCAGATCTGATGAAAACACCTGCAAAAATCACATTTTGTAATTCCGTTCTTACAATGAGAAAAATAGGTAACGCAAAAAATGTTCGTCTTTTCAACTCGGACAACTTTTACATTCAACATTTTTTCCAAAACTTGCAATGGCGATTAATTCTCATTATTTTGAGGTATGTAAGAATTGAACGGAAATATTAAGCGTACACAAATGTTATTCTCTCTGAGATTGACAACTTTTATCTCAGAAAATATCAGAGTTACATGGAATTATCAAGTAAAACAAGCAGCGAGCACATGATAGTGAGCATGTCACTGAGTGATGTTTTAATGCTTTCTTCACCACCAATAAATTGATGGTATGCTTCCGAATGATTTCAACATAATGAGTTTTTTTCACTCTCGAATATTTCTCCCCATTTTTGTAATTTGTGGCTTCCTAGCCCCCCCCCCCCTCCGACCAAACTCTCTCCAACCTCCTATATCCCATTTGTTAAAGGTTTGAGGAAAACCTAAGTTGAGGAAAAACCTGACCAGATAAAGACGTCCCTCCCGAAATTCCTAAATTACTTTCCGAAATTACTTTCAAATCCTTAACTGTTTATAATTACTCTTTTTTTCAATTTTTAGTTCTTTTTTCATGATGGTCGTTCACTTTGTTATTAATTTCATTTTTTGTTCACTTTTATATCCAAATTTTTTCACTTTATCCTAACAATTTCGATATTGCGATTTTTTGTTCCCACCGTCAAATGGGCATGTGCGGAGAAAGAAATACCATAAAAATCACTGTGTTAGCATGGTAAAATGGGTTAATTTTGATGGATCCGGAAAATTTCACGTGCCAGTACTGAAATTTTTGCTGTGCTGCAAGAATTTTTCGCAAATTTAGCACGAAAGATTATTGTATTCTCGTTGATGGCACGTGAATTTTTTCTGGTCCGTCAAAATCAATCCATTTGCACCTTCTAAATTATCCAGGGCTCTGAAAAAATGCTCCAACCAAACTCCTACACCAATAATCACAATAAAGCCTCACCGAAAGATGCAAACAGGTCAGCAACCGCCAGCCAAATGATGATTTCCGTCCCCCTCGATCCAGAAAACGTCTGCCACCGATGCTGATACGGCGTCTCTTCCCTCGGCAATATCTACAATTTCATCAATGATAATTAATCGTTCAATTAACACTAATTGATTTTCATCAAAACAACAAGCCACCAAAGTGAAGAGAAATACACGTGAAAGGAATGAAACATAAAATTCCAAACCATTTTGGAGAGAATTCAATTCAGAATTTTTATGTTGCATAAATAGTTTTTTTATTTTAATAGAAGAATTTGATAGAAAAAGACAACAATACATTTTGATGCTTCTATAAAACTTATTCTGTTAGCATGTTTTTCAAGTGTTTTGTCCTGTTTTTAATGAAAGGCAGAGGAGAATACAACTGAAGGGTTTGGAGAATTTCTGTAAAAAAAGCAAATAGAATAAATTTTGTTAGAATGAGAATGTGTAGTTTTTTTCCCACTGAATCTGTTTTTAAAATATTTTTTTATGCTGAAGAAAAAAGTCATAAAAAATGCTCAATTTCACAGAAATGTGTTGAATAAAAAAAAAAGAAAAAAAAATAATATTGAAAAAATAGAATTATTGCCTAGTAAGTGCGCTAAGTATTCTGTGAACATTCTTTATTCTTGCAGAGCCAAAATCATAAATACCTGGTAAATAGCACCGAGTATTCCCATAGCCGAAGATAATATACAAACCGTATTATATACATCTGGATTGAATTCCTGCATGATAACAACAGACATATCCGTTTTATTATTATGACGACAGCAGAAAGTTTGTATCGTAGGATCAGCCATATTGGATATTTAAATATAAATGAATACCACGAGGTTCCCACAGACAATTCAATGATATAAACTACTTTAATTGCCTCGAGAGTATCAGACTCAATTGATAAGGCACGTGAGAAATGCGACGGGAGGGAGCTACGGAAGGATGAGAAATGATAAGAAGTTTATCGGGTACTGTATTGGGAACGATTTTAAAGACTTGGAATAATTCCCCACCGAATGTATTTGGTTTCTTGGCTGAATGATGAATGGTGAACTTGCGACTGAAGATTCTCGGGGAACATGGACATCTCTATGGTGCAGTCCGTGGGTTAATGTAGGGGGATTATGGAAACCTGAGTCGGCCTTGAAGCCGCATAAACTCGAGATTGATTTCGTTTCAATGTCAGTTTTTACTTTTTGGGAGGGGGATTTTTTGCAGTTTTTTTTTCATTGTTGGGTGCGGGGGATTTTCAGTGCATCTGTTTGGATACTGATGATGAAGGTTAATCTGTAGAAGACAGCTTTGGATTTCAACGGAGGAACATTTTTTACACTACATATTTCGTTCTATTTTTCAATTTATGAGATATTGAGAGTTATGGAAAATGGAAAATGATGGATTTTTTAGAGGATACCTTTCGGGGAAATGGGGAAAAAATTTGCAAGGAAAAAGTGTTTTATTTTCAGAAAGGAATCTTTTTTTTTGTTTTTCAATATGTTGAATATTTTATGACCTACTACTCGTAATTGAATAAGGAAAGGTGGGCCAATGTGGAACGCTTATTGTCATCGACAATAATTGTTCTGCCCTTTTTTTATAGCAAAATTCTAACGAAGATATATTCTATAAAGAAAACCAATACATTCTCGTTTTCCTATACAATTGTAAAGCTTATGGGTTAAATATTTAACCGAAGTTGCAACCGGCTATCTGTCCTATTTCTACAGAAATTCCTTAGTATGGGAGCACGTCTAAATATTTTCCGTCAAAAAAACTTCGTCATAAAACTCGGTTTTTTGAACTTTTGCGATTACAACGTTTGTCATAAAAAACTCTTTCAAAAACAACTTCTGTACAAATAACTTTGTTCAAAACCCGAATATTTTTTTGTGTTTTTCGGTTTTTATCTCTACTAGCACCGCCGCGGCCGCAAGCGGCCGCGACGTTGATGCCCTTTCATTATGCTTTTTCTCAATCTTTCCTTGTGTTTCTTTGAAAAATTAATGATTTATCATAGTCTTATTAAACTGAATATTAAGATTAATAGACACAATGATTATCGGGTCATCACCTGTTTAATTTCAATATTTCAATGAGTGATTCAATGATTCTTAATTTTTGTGCTCACTGAATGAAGNGAAAATCTTGAGAAATAATAGAAAGTCGACTTTTCAGAGTAGACTAATGAATTGGATGAGTGAAAAAATCGCATTTTCCGCCAGACCACGACCTTTCTTTATAAAAATAATTCCATAATAATCCAATTTTCTGGCCGTTTATCCAATATTTTTGGAAGTTTGCTCAAAAATAATGATTCATCATAGTCTTATTAAACTGAGTATTAAGATTAATGGACACAATGCTTATCGGGTCATCACCTGTTTAATTTCAATATTTCAATGAGTGATTCAATGATTCTTAATTTTTGTGCTCACTGAATGAAGTTCTATGATTATAATAAAAATTCTATTCAGAGTACGAAGCAATAATTATTGAAGTTCACACAACCCAGAATTGTTTAGTGTTCGCCACCCCTTTTGTTCTCCTTTACACCTTTACCAAAGCATTTAATTATTTTTGCTGGAAACATTATATGACAGATTCTGATGCTCCTTCGCTAATTCGGAGTATTTTCTCGTCATTCATGATCTTTTTCACAATTTTATTCGACGATGCCATGAACTTGAAACTTTGATAGATCATCTGAATTTTTGTCAAATCCTCCATGAAGTCCCGAAATTCTTGTGAATTTTGCTTGAAAAACTTGGAAATTTTGGTGAAATTATATTCTCCGATTTTTCAAATTATGTTTTTCTTTCCCATTTGAATCAATCAGAGGGCAGTAGTTGGTGTCACGTGACCTCTACACATCAATTTCATTTGGAAAATTCCACCTTTTCCTATCAATTGTTCTCCCATGGTTTATTCAAAAATTCTCTAATATTTGTGAGATACCGAAAATTTTCTCTAATTTTCGAAAGACTCCTGGATTTTTTCGGGTTTTTTTAGAAAATCTCATAATTGTTGTAAATTCTCTGGAAAACTTCCGAATCATTTTACATTCAGAAAAAACCGACAATTCTCTGATTTTTGAGGGAACCTGTCAACTTCCTTAAAGTTCTTATAATTCATCCCCTATTCATCCTATTAAAGGTGGATTTTAGAAAGAATTTGAAACACATCCTCTTTTATTTCTAAAAATCTTCTCTTAATAAGCACGCCTTAGAAATAGGATCCGTTCTAAAATGTTCATATTCCTATCGGTCTTAACAGTTTCAGCTTTGCATTATTATTTCAGTCAGGCTGAAAGGCTCCTTTTTCATATTCGCTAGCGCCGATACCCTTTCATTATGGCTTTTTTTATTTTTCCTTGTGTCTCTTTCAACAATTAATGATTCATTATCGTCTTATTATACTGAGTGTTAAGGTTAATGAAAATAATGTTTGTCGTTTGATTGCCTGTTTAATGTCAATATTTCAATAAGTGATTCACTAATTTTGAATTTCTGTGTTCTATGAATGACGTTCGAACTATAATTATAATCAAAATTCGACTCAGAGTACAAAACAATAATTAGTAAATTTCTCTCAACTCAGAATTTTTCAATCTTCGCCGCCCCCTTTATTCCCTTTCACAACTTGATAATAGCATTCAATTATTTTTCTACCAAAAATCATAAGACCGATTCTAATACTCTTTGGCTAATTCGAAGTATCTTCTCATTCATGATCTTTGTCACAATTTTATTAGGTGCTATATTACTTGAAACTTGAATCATTAATCATCTGAAATTTTTTCAAATTCTCCATAAAATTCCGAAATTCTTGTGAATTAACAAAAAAATGTTTGTGAAATTGTTGAGAAAATCCGAGGAAATTTTCGAATTTTAAAAAATTATGTTCCTTCTCATTTCCATCAATCAGAGTGCAGTTGTTGGAAGCTCGGGACTCCTTCACATCAGTTTTATTTGGAAAATTCCACCTTTTCCTACCAATTGTTCTCTCATTGTTTATTCAAAAATTCTTTAATATTTGAGAGATACTCAAAATTTCCACCGATTTTCGAAGAATTCAGTTTTCTCAAATTGTTTCAGAAAACCTCATAATTGTTTTAAATTCTCCGGAAAACTGCCGAATCATCTTACATCCGGAAAAAACTGGCTCCCTCTGAATATCGTCATTTC